TCTGCTTTTCTTTAAACCTTGCTTGAGAATTTCATCAGTTTTCTGAGTGCACTATTAATAGTCATATTTTATGTTCTTAAGATTCATGGCAACTCACGCATATTTTAAGAAAGAAAAGAAAGACAGCTGTGTTTCGCCAAGAATGTACACACCCTGAAAAAACTTGGCATTGAAAAATATGTCGATGGTTTTCTTCGAAGTAACGATTAATTTTTCTAGTTTTGCATTTCTAAGAGTTAGCTCCCTTTTCACAATATCCGAAATTAGTAAATTTTGATTAACTTTGTCCAATTTTATTAACTTTCTTTTCTGTAACATTTAGAGCATTTTAGATTAGAATAATTAATAAATGATTAAATAATAATTGAATATATAACGAAAATAAATATATATTAAATATTATGTACATAATTATAAACAAATTTAATTAAATAATAACAGTTAAATAATAATAAATTAGATTTAAATACTGTATAAAACTTTCTTTTTAAAGATGTTTATTTGAAATTATTTTTTGTTTCTTATATTCTATATATGGAAAATTAACTAATGAAATAATTTTTTTCACAAAGGTACTCCCAATTTGTGACCTTGTGCGAAACTAAACTAGGCTTAGTACATAACAATACAACATAAAGTTTGAAACTTTTACTCTAGACAAACAAACGAAATTTTGCCGATTCACAAACATTGTGATCATTGTGGGTGCTAAAAAGTTCTCAGCCTTACTAAGAAGCCCTTTCCCCAAAAATCTGATATTTTGTTATTTGTTCAAATTTTAAGAAGTTTTTTTTTTAATAATTTCTTCCCAAGTAAGGCGATAAAGTCACTAAGACTCTGGCATTGCAAGAGAATGAATAAAGAGGGTTTTTTTTTAGTGAAGAGGAAGGACAATAAAAGAAGAGGGTTCAGGAAAAAGGTAAGATGGCGATTTAAATTTTAGTGAAACGATGGGACCTAATAACCACTCTTGTACTGCACTTCAGTCCACGGCGGACGAGGTACCAAGAAAGAAAGCTCATTTGAACAACTGCTATGAAAATATTCTTACAAAGGTCAGAGGGAAGCCACATGACAGCGGTGAGAAAGTAAACTGTAGTTAAGATGTTCGTCTGTGTGAACGTCTGGGCGTTTATTTTTGCTTTTGCTTATTTTTATAAACATTCATTTGGCATTGCATCTTCTGTCAAAAAGGCAGGAGACATGATGATCTCAGAAAGAGATGCAAAGTACTTGGGAAATAAAAGTGATTTTCACTGTTACAGTGCATTTCTTGCATCATTTGATTGTAATACACGGAAAAATATCAGTGAATATGAACGGATTATGATAAAAATAAGCAAACATAATGTTTGTAATTTATTTAATCAGACATTCCTAAATATATATATATATATATATATATATATATATATAATATAAATATAAGGTGTGTGTGTGTGTGTGTGTGTGTGTGTGTGTGTGTGTGTGTGTGTGTGTGTGTGTGTGTGTGTGACGAATGCACGGCCGCAATTTTCGACGGATTTGCACCAATATTTACATGCACATGCTCCAGGTTAGCGGGAAGGCCAAGACCGACTTTGCATTTCCCAACTCCCATTGATAGTGAAAATAATCGATTTTTTCATGCTTCTACGGCAGTTTTCATGTGGTTTGCGGCCATTTTCTACTAGCCAGAGCGAGGGCCTATCGCTGGCTGCCATGAATAGACAGGAAGATTCTATTGGCCAGCGTGAGAGCCAACAGCTGACTGACACGAATGTTAACAAGCATGCTAGCATGCAAAAAGAATCGATACCTGCATTCGTCACAAGTTGGAAAAATTTAAATCTGCATAGCACTTTACTCCAATTGGCTCATTCGCTTGCTTAAACTCAACGTTGATTCTGATTCGGCAGAACTGGGTTGGGTGTGAAAAAGTATTTGTTGTTAACATTCTTTTTTCATTTGCTTTTTCCAGTTACGAGTCCTTTTTTAAAGCTGATCGTTTTGTGTTCATTTTGTTTAGTTCTTTTTTCGTAACAGATTTAATGTTTAGTATAGAGCTTAGAAAAAATTCACAGTGTGAGATAGGCAAGAAGTAAGACATGTAGCAACATCATCACGGCAAAGGGCACTCCTTTAAAGGCAAGGAAGGGCAAAAATATCAAGCACGGGCAACGCCGGGCCATGCTGCTAGTATATATATATATATATATATATATATATATACACACAAATACCTACGTAGGTATTTGTATATGTATATGTATTAATATACATTTTTTCTCTGTCTAACCACATAGAGCACTATTATGTTTACACCTCATGAATAAATTTGTGATCATTTATTTGCTTGCCTGTCTCTGCACGCCAACACGCGCGTATACGGTTGCTTAGATCTGGTCATTTGATTTATCCTAATTTATATATACTAAGTTAACTATATATATATATATATATATATATATATATAGAGAGAGAGAGAGAGAGAGAGAGAGAGAACTCAAAAACGAAGGATTTGTGAACGTTTGTGCTTGTTCTGGTATTCCTCCCACTGTTTATAAAAAGTATTTTCGATACATATATATATATATATATATATATATATATATATATATATATATATATATATATATGTATATGCGTATATGTGTGTGTGATATGTGTGTGTGTTTTCCCCCAAAACCTCCTAAAAATTTATATATCGTTATGCCATATATATATATATTCCATACTTACATAATCCGAGAACAACTCACCAATCCACGGCACTATTAAAATCATAGATTTCTTCACTTATTCATTAACTCTAATTGATCCGCAAATAAGCTGTCACTATTCATCCCTACCTCAGGCATCCAGATGACCTGTCTTACCTCCCGTCCATGTTGGCCTTCGTCAATGACAAATTTATGCAGCTATAATAAACGAATTTCATATTTGTAATGACGTTTATATCTTTAATATTCTTTTGCAAGTCAGTGACAATTACGACGAACGTAACAAATTGGTAACTTCATCGACAGTAGAGAAAAGCGCGAAAAAACTTTTTTTATATAGAAATTAAGCATCTATACAGCCATTCCTCACTTAACGACTTTACCGGTTTGACGACCCCGAAAATACGACCAACAATAAAATCTCATAGAAATAAACATAAAACACCGTCAAATGGATTATTTTTATTACGTTTTTTTTTTAAATGAGTCAAAATAAATAAATTTAGAAATCAATCAAAATTTATCTGCACAGAAATGCATTGAGATACGAGTTTAATTCGTTCCAAGACCACGCTTGTAACTCAAAATTATCTCAAATCAATTTTTCCCATTTGAAATTAATGGGGATATTTCCGACCCGTTCCAGGACCTTACAAATTAACCACTGCCCTTTACACTTACTTTCTTCGGACTAATGGTGTCACTAAAGGAATTTTACAAAACAACAGCAGAAAGACACTACGAAACACGACAGAGATCCTTCCAGAGCAGAGGTGAACGCGTGTACGGGGGATTCTTAACTGAAACTTGCTCGTATCTCAAAATTCAGTGTTTATTTTTACTTTGTTTCAATATTTAGTTTGTTCTGTGATTTACCCCTCCCCTTACATTATCATTCATCCGATTATATATATATATATATATATATATATATATATATATTGTAAATAATAGTTATCATCTCATTGAGATATTTTTAGTCCCACCTTCACCCCTGAGAGGATGTGGTATTATGGTGTATGGAGGATTGATTGACGACGGGTGAGTTTTTATGGTGAATAAGGAAATTGTAACGAGTGAATGGGTCGTGAATCCGATTGGCTAGGTATAAGATAGTTAGTGAAGACCAGCCTCAACCCATTCCACCTTTTCGGCCTTGTGCCATAATTGTACTAATTTACAATAAATCGCAATAAACACATTTCAGCATATCTTTCTTCACTTTCGTCCAGGCACGAATTAATTGATGAGATACTCGGTGGTTCGTCTCAGTGTTTCTCAGGTAGTTCTTTCGAACAAGCTTGCAGCATCTGGATCCAAGAATTACATTTCTCTCCCACTAGACACATCAAAACAAAAAAGCTGGGATAAAATAAAATGCGAGGCCAATTTTACTAATTTGAGGCTCTCTCTTGATCAGCATCGCCTCGCCTGTCTACTATCTGCTTCACAACCGAGTAGTGGCGCCTGGCTCAACGCAGTTCCCTCTTCATCTACCAGTACCCTTCTAGATGATGAGTGCACTCGAGTCTGAGTCGGGATCCGTCTTGGACTCAAATGATGTGAGCGTCACAGATGCAGATGTGGAGCCTCCATCGATGAGTTTGGTTTGCATCCTCTTTCCACGGCATGCTGCCATTAACGACATCATCAAAAGAGGTTTGGATGCAGCTGGGTTCCGTTCCCAAATTGAACCCGTAGGCCTCGACCGCGGTCATGGAAAGCGGCCGGATGGCATTACCATTTTCCCTTTTAAAATGGGGAAGTCATTGATTTTGGATGCGATTTGTGCGGATACATTTTCGGTCGGTAATTTGATCAGTTCCGCGGTTGAGCCAGGATCCGTCGCCCGGGACGCAGAGATGAAAAAAATAGCTAAATATTATTCTCTTGCTGATAGATTTTTTTTTTTTTTACTCCTGTGGCAGTGGAGACTTCAGGGGTTATTGGCCTTCGTTCGATGGCGTTCCTTCGGATTATTGGCGCGATTGCGTCTCGATTAAGTGACGAGCCTCGCGAAACGGAGTGGCTCTTGCAGAGTGTCTCACTGGCGATGGTTCGAGGTAATGCATTCTCCATCATTGGCTGGCAGAGGATAGAAAAAATTGTTTATTGTTACGTTGTTCTGGAATTGTCATCAGTGGTCAACTGTACTTGTTTTGTTTCAATAAATGTTATACTTAATAAGTAAAAAAAAAAAAGACGAGTATCACAATGAATTCAAGTTTTACATAATTCAAGATGACTGATGCTCCAGCTGTTAAATTTTAATGACGGATTAATTCTTTATAAACACACTGTCGCCAAGAGGAAAATTCTTTAATGACGTCATGATGACGTTGGTAAGAAAGGCAAATGTCAGCTCAAGCCAGTTGACTCGAAGAAATCTTTTCAAACGAAGATGAGTTGGCTCCTGCCCTGTCCAGAGACAAATGAAGCTACAGGCAGGGAGAAAAGGCGATATAGGACGTATGGGGCCGCTGACGACGGTTTTGTTGAAACAGCTACACTGCAGCTGACCAAAAAATTTGAAGGGGCTTCGTTTTTCGTAGTTAACCATGCATTTATCATCGCCTGTTTGTTTCCATATTTTATTCTCGCCCTTGGACACTACTGGAACGATTTAAGCCACTACACTCCTTTCCTCAACGCCAAACCGAGCGTGCCTTTAATGACTGACCACGAATCTGTCCGACGTAAAACCCGCAAAATTTCGCAAGGGGACAGTGTCTACATTAACGAGTTGGTCGGTGACATTCTTAACTCTTTGTTGCAGTCTCTTATCTTTTCTACTATTGTGACTATTACACTTTTTGGTTTTTACAAGTGGATTCAAATACGCCGAAAATTTGAAACGACACAGATTTTCTACACGTCTTTAGTAATTTCGTTCAGTTCCTCGTTTTTCATCAGCAGGATATTTGCATAACTTTCCCTCTCGTTGTTTTTTTTGGTTTTAAAAAATACTCCTTAAAAACAATGGCTTTGAAATGAGCTTCGAAAAGAGTTGTGAAAAATGCACATTGCTAAAAAGTTTTCGAAGAAATCAACATAAATTAAATTTTATGTTTACGAAAACTGATTCTTTTGGACTTTTTAAAAAAATAATCAAGTTGATACATACCATACTTTCTTGTGTATAATATGATTTTAGTATAATACGATCCCGTGTTTTTGAAGCTAAAAATAGGTAATAAGTTACAATATTGAGCATAACACGGTCCCGTGATTCTGAAGCTTGGTATTAAATGACATCCTTGAGTATATTACGACCCCGTAGTGCAGCCATCTCTACGTAATTTTTTTTTCAAGTTGTACTATATTATCCATTAAAATCTCAATGTCGAACATATATTTCACTAAAATATTTAAATTTTCACGATATTAAGGAACAGAAAGGAACCGGATGTATTTCGTCTCTTAATTTTCGTTTCAAAACTTCTTTTCGAATTTTCGGGGAAAGGTGCTTCGTTGTAAAATGAATGATATAAAAACATGACAGATCGTGTGTATTCATGTTAATTTTATTTTAATCAATATCGGTAAATTTCCTATCTTTGAGAAAAGACGTCAAATTACGCTGATTGCCAAAGAACAAATATGGCAGACATATCAAATTCCTTTAAACAATTTTTATCGACACCTGCCTACTTTGTTTTCAATCGTGCTATTTCAAATAAGAGGTGTTTTTAAGCTGTGGGAAAATTTCTGAAAACGCGTATAATACGACCCCTGCCCGACACACACAAACTTTGTATTTAATTTTCGTTCAAAATTTTTCGTATTTTACACAAGAAAATGCGGTATTTTCTTTCTTACAGATTCTGTACAGACGGGAGTGTGATGATAATACTAAGGTCCTCGAATACGCCAGTCATCACGTGGTGTGTGACCTGTGACAAAAATCTTAAAGACTATAAAAATATAAGTAATATTGCTGTTTACTTTTAAACAGAACTTCGACCCTCACTTTGTACTCCATGTTCGCAGCCTTGCGCCACATCTAAAATACACTCAGTCTACAACACCTTTATCAACAGTGGATAAAGGCGTTGCTTAGATCCAGTGACAGCACCTAAAGAGTTGTGAGTTCAATACCTGGTTAAGGCAGTGGAGAACTTGGAGAGACCTCGTCGCCAGGCTGCACTTAAACCCATCAAGTCTAGATACCATAGACGACGCGAAAGGGGGAAGTCTTGCGAGGCAATCGTCTTTCTCATTCGGATCCAATTCGATTCTTTGAGCATCAGCTCAAGATGAAGATTAGATCGGATAGAAAACGATTGCATTCGACAGTCTTTAGCGAAAGGTGGGTAAAAGAAGCGAGTTTGCTTCGTGTGAACGGGGCTAGCCTTGATTTTCTCTTCTAGGTCAACCTATTGCACATCGGGGTGGCTTCCTGTGGAACCCCTCCCCTTGGTTAGGTTAGACAAGCTTCAGTGTACCTAGTTAATGTGAGTAAGTGTTGTTCCTGGCCTGCACCCCGGCCGTTCTTTGGTTATGATCCAAGTCGAGATTCCCAACCTCCCCAGTTTGTTTCACCCCCCCCTTTCATCTCGACTGGGTCAGTTTTATATTTTCCCATTCCAGCCTAATATTTTATACTTTTTCCCACTCCCTTAGCGAGAGCGTCTCTTGATTTTGTCCCCTGGGCAGAATACAGCGGTCTCTCTGTTTTATGGGTTGGACGGTCCCTACTAACATCAATTATGTTTAGTTTGTATTTGTGTTTAGTTTAAGTTTATTATTGGGTTCATTTCCCTCCCCTCTCATTTTATCATTATTAGAATTGTATATATATATCATTATTAAAATTTTTATGGCATGGGGCGCGATTTTGGTAGGTCTCCCTTGAGAGCACGTGGTATTATGGTGGTTGAAGGATTGTTTGGTGATGGACGAGTTCTTTTGGTGAATGGTTAAAATGTAATGTACGAATGGGTCGCGAATCTGATTAGCTAGGTATAAGATAGTTAGTGTTGACCAGCCTCTACCCCTCCCCTTTATTGGCCTCGTGCCACAATTTGTACTTTTCGTACGAATAAATATCAGTCTAGATACCATAGAGAAGAATTCATGCGAACAATTTACATGAAAGTATTTATATAAAAGGTGCAGGGGGCCAACTTTTCAGTGTAGTAGATAAGATTTTGCTGGCTACGCCCTAGCAGTTTCGGGACCGCTTGGATTCGACTTCACCCAAAGTGATGTCATGTGTAAAACGGTTACCTGAATTTAGGCTCTATTAGATGTAAACATGGAAGTAAACTCCTTTGCTGCATGTGTCAACTCGTTACCTTGCATGAGGGTTATTCAAAAGTTTCATCGTTTTCGATTGATTGTTTGTTTGTTAGTTTTTTTTACGGTTTATCAACATTTTGCTGGTTTTTTAATGCCAGAAAATATTTTTAGATTGTAAGAATTTTTTGAAGATAATAATTATCTTACTGATACAAGTCCTATTAATTAACCCATAGCTGGACTTAGAAGCGGTGGATTCATACCTTACGCAAGAGTATTTGCGCTAAGTGATTATAACGAACCTGACTGGAATCGGAACTCCGTTCTCCGATTTTAATCCCGAGCCGTTATCTATTACACCTCCTGCACATGCAAGCTTACATCACTTGGTATTGTTAAGCGGTAAACTATCTAGGTACTGACCAGGTTCGACGTTGCTTAACTGCGGTGATTGTACCGGTGTTTCAATGTGATATGGACGTAAGCCAAAATGTTCATGAGAAAATCCTATTATAAGAAAACTTTACAAATATTCTCATATTTGTTACGTGTTATAATCTGCATGAACCAGTAGTATTTCGAGGTAATCGATTGAAGTTTACCCCAATTTAAAAATAATTTTCTTCCGAGCAGCAAGAATCCTGTCAAAATTGACGTAAGAACTTACATTAAACTTATAGCAAAATTTGATTAGACATATTAGTTCTTTGAGAAATGCTTATATAGATAATTCATAGAAAGATGGATACCAAGAGATGTTCCAAAGTTCACAGCTTGGTCAAAATGACTTTCTAATGAACATATGATGTTTGAGTCAGATTTGGAAAAATAATTCTAGTCGAAAACGTTCCAGCAATCCCATGTTCATACATACATAGAAAAAAAGAAATTAGATTACTCTTGGACTTTGGACCCACGTACACGTGGGAGCTCCCCATTAAAAAAGTCCTTGTGCCTGCGTCCGGAACGAGTGGGTGGTCTGTTAACTATCTCAAATTACTTGTGTCTGTAATCATGCAAAACTTATATGACTTGAGAACAGTATGCCCATTTGGAGCCGAACAATTAAGATACTCATTTTTAGCGCATCACAGTAAAATATGGCGTCAATCGATCAACAGATAACAAATCCGTGCCTGTAATGATTAATGCAGATCTTGAACGCTGCGCAGCGTAGGCGACTATTTTTAAAGCATTTAGGTTTAGCAGGCTTATTTTAACTGGTTACCGAAATGCTTTCCTGAAGTAGATTTCGTGATAACATCTTTCAGAGTTATTCACCTGTTGCTTTGGCAAGGAAAAAAATTAAATAAAAATTAAGGCTACAATTAAAAGAACAATAACTTATTGTTAGATGTCCTTTCTATGTTTTAAAGAAAGGGTTCGAATCCGATCTTCATCGTTCTTTGTCTTTTCTCTGTTTATTCGCATTCTCTACCATTCTCTATTCTGGTGTTTCTTCCCATCTTATCATCATACACTCTCTTTCACTCACTCTCGAATATTCTTCTTTTTCTCGCTTACTCCCTTATGCAATTACATACGCATGAACACATGCACTCTTGCTGCATTTCCTTGTTGTGCATGCATGAACGCACATACATTTTACACCACGTTTTTATATAGTCTACTTAATTTATCCATACCCTCTTATCACTCAGGTTTTGCATTTTATCTATCGATTAATCTCAAACTATCGACCCCCATGCCTATTTCTATTCTCCACTTCCTTTTCGACACACACACACACACACACACACACACACACACACACACACATACACACACACACATACACACACACACACACACACATATATATATATATATATATATATATATATATATATATATATGGGAGAGGTTATGGTTGCTTCAGTAAGAGAAAGTGTATATTTTAAAGAGAAGAAAGAAGCCGCAAACGTTTTTGGTTATAATGGGGATTTTTAAAAAATATATATCATACTTTATTTTACATATTTCTTTTTTTAATACACGTGTTTCGAGTCATTGCAACCTTCATCAGGCGAATAGTGGCTATTTCCATAAATCATTTTAAGATATCTACCACAAACCTACTGACACGCAACAATATCTTCATTTCAAGAGCCATCACCAAAAAAAAGCTGTCTAAAATGCATCTTGCATTCCCTAGTACGTGGGATTTGCACTACAGTAACCGACAAACACCACCGAA